CAGATAGTGAGTATAATTGCCAATTTGTACAGCCTGTGGGCAAGGCTAGGAAGGCAAACACTGAATTGAAAATGGTGTTTCTATATATATAAATATATGTATATATTTTTATATATATATTTACAGATATAAAGATTTTTTGGTGTGAACAAATTCTCACAAAAATAACAACCCTACCAGGAGTAAAAGATAGAGAAGATATGATGGGTCTTTAGTGAAGTCCATAACAGGATTGGCCTTTAATGGGGTACATAACATGCAGAAGAAGGAGAGTTTATTGCTTCTGAAAAAAACCCAGTTATCAGTTTCCTCAGGGCATCCTTGAGCTCCTGGTTCCTGAGGCTGTAGATGAAGGGGTTCAGTGCTGGAGGAACCACCGAGTACATAAGTGACACAATAAGATCCAGGGATGGGGAGGAGATGGAGGGGGTCTTCAAGTAGGCAAAGAATGAGGTGCTGATAAACAGAGAGACCACAGCCAGGTGAGGGAGGCAGGTGGAAAAGGCTTTGTGCCATCCCTGCTCAGAGGGGATCCTCAGCACAGCCCTGAAGATCTGCACATAGGAGATAACAATGAAAACAAAACAACCAAACATTAAACAGGCAATAACCATAGTAAGCCCTATTTCCCTGAGGTAGCCTGAGTGTGAGCAGGAGAGCTTGAGGATGTGTGGGAGTTCACAGAAGAACTGGCCCAGGGCATTGCCCTGGCACAGGGGCAGGGAAAATGTATTGGCTGTGTGCAGCAGAGAATAGAGAAAGCCAGTGGCCCAGGCAGCTGCTGCCATGTGGGCACAAGCTCTGCTGCCCAGGAGGGTCCCGTAGTGCAGGGGTTTGCAGATGGCAACGTAGCGGTCGTAGCACATGATGGTGAGGAGGGAAAACTCTGCTTCAAGAAAGACGACAAGCGGAAGGCCTGTGTAACACATCCCATGTAGGAGATGGTTGTGGTCTCCCAGAGGGAATTGTGCATGGCTTTGGGGACAGTGGTGCAGATGCAGCCCAGGTCTGTGAGGGAGAGGTTGAGCAGGAAGAAGCCCATAGGGGTGTGCAGGTGGTGGTCACAGGCTACGGCGCTGAGGATGAGGCTGTTGGCCAGGAGGGCAGCCAGAGAGATGCCCAGGAAGAGCCAGAAGTGCAGGAGCTGCAGCTCCCGCCTGTCTGCAAATGCCAGGAGGAGGAACTGGGGCATGGAGCTCCTGTTAGACATTTACTGCCTCTGGGTATTTGTTTCCAACACAGGAGAAGAAGACAGTAAGAGGCCAGTTAGCGTGGACTTATCTAAACAAAGTCAAATCTGTATTCTACAGACACTCCCCATGTCACACACAGACTGCCTTTTGATTTCCTAGGAGATCTTCCTTCAGCTCCAGTGCTGGGTCCCTAGTGAACAGCATTTTCACTGTCATAGCATCACTCTGCTTCTGTACAGGGGTTTCACATAACAAGGAGATGTTTAGAGACAGGTTTCCAACCTGGTGGGGAATTCACAGTTTGGAAGGAAACCTCAGGGAGACAGCCAAATGTCCTTATGATGGCATTTGATTTAAGGGGACTCAGCTCCTTCCCCAGCACCACAGGCTGCACTGGTAGGGGTCATATTCCATTTGCAGGTGCAAAAAGGACAGCTCAGACTAGTCCTGATGGGCCTAGCAGAGGTGATGCTGGTGCTGCCCACCGGCAGAGCAGTGGCTGAAAGCACATTAGGAAGCTCAGACAGACCTACTGAGCACTCGCAGTTCACATGTCTCAGGGACTTGTCAAAACTAATACTTTCTTAATGATTTATTCCTCCCATTCCTCAAGAGTAGGAAACTGGAAGCACAATCTCAGGAAATTTCTTTAACTTTATAAAAATTATTGTCTTGGAAATATTCTGGGAGGGAGCTGAAGCTCCGAGCATGTCCTCCTCCTCTACACTACAGATACTCTCAGAGTTGCACTTAGGGAATCGGTAGTTGGTGGGCAGTGCTTTACCAGATGCCTCCAAAAGCTGCAGTCCCATTGCCCTGCATGAACAGACTTCCTGTGCCAAGGTCTATAAAAATTCTCCCCCAGTGAGCTCGCAGCATCTTTCTACGTCTGACAGCCTTTAACTTCTCTCTGCCTCACTCCCCTGCCCTGGGTGCTGCAGGCAGTGCCCTCAGCCCTGCTGGGCTGTGCAGAGGAGCTGCTCACCAGCAGAGCTGTCTCTTTAAAGCTCTTCTTGCTTGCCAGGAGCTCCCTGTGCGCCAGGAGCCCGGCCCAGCTCAGCAGCACAACAACAGAAAAAGGCATTTCATGACCCTCGGGGGGGGGGGGTTGTCATTGTTTACATGAGACTCAGTCCCTGAGAGGAAGTTCAAACAACTTTTTCAAGAAGTCAAAGTGAGATTGAAACACTAAAGTTTCTTGCAGTGCTAATGAGTCTCACTGTGGGACACAACTGAGAACGTGTCCCCAGGTTCCAGTTAGAGCAGAAAACTGCAGACAGTGATGACAAGGATGGACAAGCAAGGGAAAGGTGGCTCTGATGCTGAAAAAACATTGACTTGTTTCCTTAATCCAACAGGCCAAGCCCTGACCCTCAGCCTCTGGGAAGGCAGATCCTGTCCCTGCCTCATTCCTCAGGGCTCTTGCTGGGGCACTGGGATGTGGGATGTGCAATGCCAAGGGCAGGACCATGGGGTGGCACCTGCCAGGCTGCTGAGCAGGGACAAGGAGGCCATGAGGCCCCAGGGCTGCAAGGGCCACTTGTCTCCTCCTGGCATCAGGGGCACAGACAGCAGCCATGGCCAAAGGCCTGCAGAAGGGGGCTCTGGCAGGGCCTTTCAGCTTCTCCCCATCCCTCTCTCCTCTCCAGCCCAGGCTGTCCTACGGTGTCCATGCCCTGCCCCTTTCCCTGCAGGCTGTCGTCATCCCCCCGGCTGCCCCACCTGGCTGGCACCTTCCTACACTTCCTCCTATAGACCACAGGGATTTTATCCCCCTCAATGGTACATAGAGGTTCTTTTTGGGTAACTCTACCAATTCAACTGGTAGAGTTACTTAACTAGGTTTGTGTGATGCCTTAAAGCTTTCTGGATTTTTTTTTTTTTAGATTTTAAAAGTAATTGTGTGGTAAATGTAGATGTTAATGTAGCTGTATTATATGCTACCCTTTAGCACAGTACTTTACACAGACCCAACCCTATGACCCCATTTGATATCAAACTTTCTAAATGCCTTTAGCATGTTTAGACTTCTTTTCAAGGTAGAACTGTAGAAAAACACCTCTATTGAACAACATCACACCCTAGGCCTGGACAACAAGATCCCACAAGAGACCAAGCAACCTTCAAGCCCAGAACTTTGGAGGCGCTCCAAGGACTGTACGTGCTCTGAAGAAGATAAAGATGAGGAAGAAGGGGTCCCAAAGACCCCAAATCCAATTCCCCAAGGGGCGTGTTGGGGGGCAGAACTGGGCAGAACCAGGGGGTGGAGAGTTCTGGCATTGGAGGGACCATCTTCTAAAACTGTAGAACCATTGGCTGGGAGGGCATGCATCGTGTGTGTTCCCCTGGGCCTGTGGGCCTGGTTAAAGGACCTGCTCTTTTTAGCTGATCTTAGACACTGAATTGGCCTGGAGTTTTCTCTCTTGAGCTTACAGGATTAACTAACTAGGTGGCTTTTGCTAAATGCACATCCCAAGGTTTGAAGGTCCCACTGCCCATTGCTTTCAAGGTGGTTTGGAACAGTCCACTCTACCATTCAACTTTCCCCGAGGCTGGTGCAGAAAACTAGTTTTCTGTTTCTGTGGAAGAGTTCAGTGTCCTCCCTCCTGGGAGAGATGGGAACCAATGATCAAACATGGAAAACGTTCTGGCTGAGCTGTTCCAAAACTGCAAACTGTAATTTGTCCAGATGGTCTAAAGATGCCCAGATTATCGAAATCCTTCCATATTTTTCTTTTCAGGGAGAGAGAAATATCTGATGAAGAAATCCAGCAAAGGCAAAAGGGCAAGGCCAAGCCTCAGCCTGCAGAGAGCTGAGGGGTGGCACCGGCTGCTCCAGAATTACATAGGGAAAATAAGAAACAGAGGAGTTTTGGAATGGGATCGAGCCATTTTCAATGGGATTGATCCACTTTGAGGTGACAGATTGATCCCTCTTGACTTTTCAGATGCAGAGCTGGGAGAGACTGGAATGTTAATGGTCCATGGCTCCAACACTCTCCAGCTGCAGAAGCAGTGGGGGCTTTGCTGCCCAAGGGCAACAGAACTGCCTGGGGCAGAGGGGGGAACACCCACCCCTGGAGGGGACAGGCTGGGCTTGGAGCCAGAGAGGGGAAGTGTTATTTTTATGGTTTTGTATCACTATAGACAGGAGCCAAAACTGCTCCAAACCTACTTTACATGGAAAAAAAATTGTTCTAGACTAAACCCAACATATACATATATATATATATGTATATAGATAAACTATCCTCGGGGGGGAGGGGGCTCTGCATCTTTCTACTCTGATATTTTCTTTCTTTTACCTTCTACATTTTCTTAAATGTTATTTTTATGCTTTCATATCACTATAGACAGGAACCAAAATGGCTCCAAACCTGCTTTACATGCCAACCAAACTGTTCTAAACTAAACACTACATATATATATCTATAAACACTGATTATTCACTGTCCTTTCACCCTAATCTGCCCAAGGCCTGGATTAAATAGGCCCTGGGTCACCCTCGCTATCAGGGGGGCCAGGACAGGGGCTGGACACGGGGGAAGCTTCTGGCAGCTGCTCACAGAACCCACCCCTGGAGCCCCCCTGCTACCAAAACATGGCCATCCAGACCCAATCCACTGCCCAGGATGGATCACCTGGACCGTGGGTCACCAGGTCTGTGCCCAGCATGGATCACCTGGACTGTGGGTCATCAGGTCTGTGCCCAATATGGGTCCCTGTGGATCATCCAGTGGGAGTCCTCCAATGGCTGATGGAGTTGGAGCAGCGGCCGAAGCTCTTCCCGCAGTTGAGGCACTCGAGGGCTTCCCTTACTGGTGGGTCCGTTGGTGTCTGGTCAAGGTAGACCTGTCAGTGAAGCTCTTTCCACACTCCCCACACTTGTAGGGCCTCTCCCCGGTGTGGATGCGACGGTGGGTGATGAGGTGGGAGTTCCGGTTGAAGCCCTTCCCGCAGTCAGTGCAGCGGAAGGGCCTCTCATCCATGTGCGTCTGCTCATGCCTGAGGAGATCTGAGCTGGTCAGAAACCTCTTCCCACATTCCAAGCACTTGTAGGGCCGTTCCCCAGTGTGGATGCGTCGGTGGATGTGGAGGCTGGAGCTGTAACTGAAGCTCTTCCCACATTCCCCACATGTGAAGGGCCGTTCCCCAGTGTGCACACCATGGTGTTGGAGGAGGGTGGAACTCTGGCTGAAGCTCTTCCCACATTCTCTACAGGTGTAGGGCCGTTCCCCGGTGTGGATATGCTGGTGTTGGATCAGGTGGGAGCTGTCCCTGAAGCTCTTCCCACATTCCCTACACGGGTAGGGCCATTCCCTAGTGTGGATGCGCTGGTGGGCGCGGAGGTTGGAGCTCTGCCTGAAGCTCTTCCCACATTCCCCACACGGGTAGGGCCGTTCCCCAGTGTGGATATGCTGGTGGGTGAGAAGGTTGAAGCTCTTCCTGAAGCTCTTCCCACATTCCAAGCACTCGAAGGGCTTCTCCCTGCTGGGAGGCTGCTCAGGGACCACCAGGTCAGAGCTCTGGTTCAAGCTCCGGCGGCCTTCCTGGCACAGGCTGGGTCTTTCCTCCTCAGAGCACCCTGGGCTGGCTTTGAAGCCCCTCCTGTGGGGGGATCTCTGGCCCTTTTCCTCCCCGCTGCCTTCCTGCACCGTGGAGCCCTTCAAAACGGCTTCCCCCACCAGGGTCTCACGGGGGGATTTGTCCTCCGGGCTCTCCATCCTCAGCTCGGGGCCTGGGGCAGGAAGCAAGAAGGACAGGGAGGGGATTTGCCTCCGGCCCACAGGGAAGGCCAAGGACATCCCCCCAACTCCGGCCCTGGCAGGACGGCGGCGGCAGCGGGGTTGTCCTGCAGCCGGGGGCCATGCTCGGCTGCCAGAGCCAGCACAACACCCGCCCAAAGGGCCACTGACTTCCTCCTCACCTGCCTGGGGGGCCCGCGGCATCTTCCTCTTCCTCGCAGACTCCTCCTCCATCTGCCCAAGCTTTGGGAAGGACAAATCCTGATGGGGGAGAAAAACAAGGGCTGAGCACGTTGGCTTGGAGGTTCCTCCTGCCCAAGTCCATCTCTAGAACTCACCGGGCATCCTGTGGCCATAAAAACCTCCAAAACACCAAGATTCAGCCCAGAGAAACCCAAACCCACGAGATTCAGGCAAAAAAAACCTCAAAAAAAGAGAGATGAACCCTCCCCCCAAAACTGAAAAAAGTTAAGGTTCAGCCAAAATATACACCAAATTATGAAGATTAAACCAAAAATAAGATGTGTAATTGGTAGGATGGTAGGATGAGGAGAGTGAGGTCATTTCATGAGCACCTGATTTAATTGTTATATATTAATCAAAAGCTGTATTAATGTAGTGTCCCTTAAAACTCAATTTTTTTCTTCCTAGTTTCGGTGTAGAGAATAAATATGAAATCACTGGACTTCAGGCCTGCATCATTACCCCTGTGCTTTGGTTTGCAAATCCTTCCTCATTCCACTTCTTCTCCCCTGCCATCATTTCTGACAACTGGACTCCTCTGCTGTGCTGTGCCAATATCCTGGGATGTGCGGTTTCCATGTTTGCAAGGATTAAAGGCAACTTTTTGCCTACCAGTGCCAAAGGCTGGTCTGTGAAGTTCAGTGTGAGAGAATCCTGGGCAGTCAGACACTGAAATTGTTGAGCTGCAACGGGCTGTGCCAATGGAATGACAGAATCCATTCTGCTGGCCCAGACACAGAAGCCAATCTGTGGCTGTGGCTCTTCGCCTCACTGGCACCATCCTCTGTGGTTCCTGCTGCCCACCATGGCACTGGCAGCCCCAGGGGCACAGGGACGTCCATCCTGTACATGAAGTCAGTGTCAGACTGTCCACAAGTGTTAGCAGGAGTAAAACAGTGCACTGCTGACCTTCTCGAATTTATCTCTGTTAATGTAGGACTTCACTTGGTCAATCTGGGTTCTCTTGCACAGCGTTATGTGGATTTGTGATTTTTATTATCACTGCACCAAATTAATCTGGAATGTGTGGTCAGAACAGTAATTACCTGTATTTGTGTATAACTGTGTGCTCTTCTATTTTTTATGCTTTCTGGCAAATTCACTGGCAACTTCTTTCACGACTACACGATGGGGACTCAAGGTTGGGGGGGTTTCCTGAGGGCAGCACTACACCAGACTTTTGTGTGTGTGTGTGAGACAGGCAGAAGCACAAATGCCTGCACAGCCCAGAGCAGTCAGTGTGGTGCTGGGCTTGCTGCTGCAGAGACCCCCAGGGAACAAACCCAGGCAATAGTTTGGGTTCATTCCTTGCTCTGTGACAATGGAATAGAATGTTCCACAGGAGCTCTGTCCCCCTCTGTGGCACCGGGGGGCTCAAAGGTGAAGGCGGGGGGTCAAGTGCAAGTTCCCTTCTGAAGTGTGTGTCCCTAGGGAGAACACTTGCCTTATTATTGCTTATTATTTGGAATATCCTACAGATGTATTATACAATAGCTAAGGATGGATTCTATAGAATATGTGCCATAGATATGATACAGAATATATCTGATTATTGCTTTATCAGTGTGTGCAGATAGATATTGTGTATGCAGAGAGATTGTATTTGAGGGATATGTTCCTCTCAATACCCTGTTAGCTCCACTCCCAAGGCCAGCAAATTCCTGAAGCTCCCACTTCTGCGCCCTGCAGGTTTTGGCAGATTTGCAAGGGCAGGGGAATCATTCCCTGCAGCCCCTTTGCACTGTAGGAAATGGGAGCACTGTGCACATCCTGCTGCCTCCAGATTCCATTCTGGGGGTGGGAACCACCCTGTGGGGAGCAAAGAAATGCCTGGTTCTGCAGGAGCTGCAGATGCTGAAGGGGCAGCAGGACCAAGTCAGGGCGCTGGGGGTGCCTGGGGGGCTTTGGGGTCCAGGAGGGTCCTGGGGGTCATGGGGAGGGGCTTTGGGGATTGGGGGTACAGACCAGCACAGACCAGTACCTCCTCACTGCTCCCCAGATCTCTCCTGGAGCTGGGCCACCTTGTTGTGAGACACCTGAGCCCCCCCCAGTGCCCTCCCAGTACAGCCTAGTGCCCCCAGTACAGCCCACTGTGTTCCTGTCCCAGGGTGCCGGGTGATCCCTCTTGGGGGGGGTTGGAAGATATTTGAGGGGGGGCTGGGGGAGATTTGAAGGGATCTGGGGGGGTTGCAAGGGGGTTTGGGGGAGGTTGGGTGCATTTGGGGGAGTTAAAACAGGTTTTGGGGGCATTGGGACATCAAAGGGATCTGGAGGGGGAGGAGATTAAAGGGAAAATCAAGGTTAGGGGACATTTGGAGGGGGGATTAAAGGGGCCTGGGGGGGAGAGAAGGGGCTGCACCAAGAGCAGGTGAGTCCTGAGACCCCCCTGGTGTCCCGAAGACCCTCGCCACTATCCCCACTGTCCCCAAACACCATCCCTGATGTCCCCAATCCTCCATCTCAGTCCAGGAGCCCCCTCTGGACCCTCTGACCACAAAAAGCCCCCCCCCCCCAACACCACTCACAGAAAGGCCAAGGGGCATCTGGGGACACCTTGGGGACAGTTGGGGGGCTTTGAGGGGCACTGGGGGATTACTGGGGGATACTGGGACACACTGGGGGAACCAGGGGGCACTGGGACGGACTGGGGAGTTACTGAGGGACACTGGGAGGGCCTGGAGGTGAACTGGGGCACACTGGGGGGCACTGGCTGAGAACTGGGGAGTTACTGGGGGATTACCAGGACACACGGGGGGACACCGGGAGGTTACTGGGCCATACTGGGGGTTACTGGGTGCTCACTGGAGGATCACTGGGCCATACTGGGGGGCAGTGGGAGGTCACTGGGACACACTGGATGGTTACGGAGGGGGTACTGGGCCATACTGAGGGCCACTGGGAGGTCACTGGGACATACTGGGGGCACTCAGATCCCCTTACCCAGATGTGGTACATCTCTCTCCCCGGATTTTGGGGGGCATCACTAGGACCCCTCCCGTGGGGGCTGGGGGACCCCCAGGAACCCACTACTGGGCTTTAGGGGGACCCCCAAAATCCCCTCAAAACCCCTGAAATCCACCCCTCGACACGTCAAAACCTCCTCAAGGTCCCCTCAAATCCCATCAGAGACCTCATCGCTCCCCAGGACCCCCTAAACCCTCTCAGTGACCTACAAAACCCACCGGGGACCCCCCAAGCTCATTCAAGGGCCCCCCAATCCCCCTCAGGGACCCTCAAAACCGTCTGGGACCCCTTAAACCCCCTAGAGACCCCAAAACCGCCTAAAAGGTCCCCGCAAAGCCCCCCAGTAACCCCAAACCTCCTCACAGACCCCCAAAGCCCACCTGGGACACCCCGAAATCTCCTCAGAAACCAAACCGCCCTCAGAGACTCCCAAACGCCTTCAGGGACCTTTAACTTTCCCCGTGATTTCATCAGGACACCGAACCCCCGCAGGGACCCCTAAAACTTCGTCAGGAAACCCCGAACTCCTCCGCTAAACCCTCCCGAGCCCTCCAACCCACAGCCGCGCTCCCCGCAGCCCCCGAGGGGATCCCCAGAGCCCCGCTCTCACCGCCCCGCCGCCAGCACGGATTTCCGGCAGCCAACATGGCGCTCGCTCTGCGCGCGCACCGCCTGTACTGACCCGCCCCGCAGCCAATCAGCGCGCGAACACAGCCCCTACCCGCCCTCCGCTCTGCGCGCTGCATTGTAGGAGTTAAAGTAGCCGCGTGCTGATTGGCTGCGGGTGGGTCAGTAAAGGTGGCGCGCGCGCAGAGTGCCCTGTTGCCTGCCGAGAATCCGTGATGGCGGCGGGGCCTCCCTTTGTGAGACCTGGCGGGGGGCGGCGACAGCGGGGCTCTGGGGATCCCCTCGGGGGCTGCGGGGAGCGCGGCTGTGGGTGGAAAGGCTGGAGGGCTCGGGAGGGTTTAGCGCGGGGGTTCGGGGGTTCCCCAGGGTCAGAGCGCAGGGCCTTGGAACCCTCTCGGGGGCTGCGGGGCCCGGGGGCCTCCCAGGAACCCGGATGTTGGATCGGTTTCTGAGAAAGTCCCTCGGAAAAAAAAAATCAAAACCACCCAACCAAAAAAAGAACCCTAAAAAAGGAAAAGTGAGGAAAAGGTGAAGGAAAAACTGCAAGGGCCAGGATGATTTGATTGCTTTGCTTCAGATTTTCCTTGGTCTTCTCCTTCTCAGATTCTTTGCTCCCTTCCTTTACAGAAAGCTCTTCTGCTGTTCTGTGGTTTTGGGGTCCCTTAAGGGCTTTTCGGGGTCCCTGAGGAGGTTTTGGGGGGTCTGTGAGGGGGTTTGGTGTCGTGAGGGGACTTAGGGAGGAGGTTGAAGGTCCCTGAAGGGGTTTGGGAATCCCTGAGGGAGTTTTGGAGTCTCCGAGGGAATTGGGAGGTCCTGGGGGGTTCGGGGGGGTGTCTTTGAAGGAGTTTTGTGGGTTTCTAGGGGGATTTCAGAAGTCCCAGACGCTTTTGAAGGTCCCTGAGAAGGTTTTTGAGGTCCCTGAAAGGCTCTGGGGGGTCCCAGGTGGGTTTTGCAGGTCTCTGTGAGGGTTTAGGGGGTCCTGGGGTGGGGAGATGAGGTCTCTGAGGGGATTTGTGGGGTCCTTAAAGAGGTTTGGATGGGTCCAGAGGTGGATTTCTGAGGGGATTTCAGGGGGTTTGAGGGGATTTTATGGGGTTTCTGTGTCAGCGGACCGACCCCAGGGAAAGGGGATCCCAATTCCCCCCTGAACCCCAGAGACCCCCAAAACTCAGCACACAGAGACCCCACAGGGAGGGGGGCTCGGGGAACCCCTAAAGCCCAGCAGTGGTGTTCAGGAGGTTCCCCCAGCCCCTCAGGTGAGGGATCCTGTGGGTGCCCCCAAAAATCCGGGGGGGAGATGTACCACATCTGGGTAAGGGGATCTCAGTGCCCCCTGTATATCCCAGCGACCCTCAGTATGGCCCAGTAACCCCCTCAGTGACCAGCCAGTGTGTCCCAGTGACCTCCCACTGCCCCCCAGTATGGCCCAGTGATCCTGCAGTGAGCACCCAGTAACCCCCAGTCTGGCCCAGTAACCTGCCAATGTCGCCAGGTGTGTCCTGGTAATCCCTCAGTAACTCCCCAGTCCCTCCCAGTGCCCCCTGGTTCCCCCCAGTGTGTCCCAGTATCCCTCAGTAATCACCCAGTGCCCCACAAAGTCCCCCAACTTTCCCCAACGTGTCCCCAGATGCCCTTTGGCCTTTCTGTGAGTGTGTGGGGGGGTGTTTTCGGTCAGAGTGTCCAGGGGGTCTCCTGGGGTGAGATGGAGGGTTGGGGACATCAGGGATGGGATTTGGGGAGAGTGGGGACAGTAGGGAGGTGTTTAGGGACAGTGGAATTGGGAGTGTCAAGGGGGGAACTGGGGACACCAAGAGGGTCTTGGGGACACGAGGGGGGTCTCAGGACTCACCTGCTCATAGGGAAGCCCCTCCTGTCCCCCTCTAGGCCCCATTAACCCCCCTAAATGTCCCCCAACTCCCCTTTTTTTCATTTAATCCCCTTCCCCCCAGATACTTTTGACCCCCTAATGCCCCCAAGACCCTTTTAACTCCCCCAAATTCACCCAAAGCCCACCCAAGCCTCCCAAATCCCCATGCAACCCCCCCCCCGAGATCGCCCCAAATCTCCCCCAACCCCCCCTCAAATCCCTTCCAACCCCCCCCAAAGAGGGATCACCCGGCACCCTGGGACAGGAACACAGTGGGCTGTACTGGGGGCACTGGGCTGTACTGGGAGGGGACTGGGGGGGGCTCAGGTGTCCCAGGACAAGGTGACCCAGCTCCAGGAGAGATCCAGGGAACAGGGAGGAGGTACTGGCCTGTGCTGGTCTGTCCTGGTTCGTCTCCCCAATCCCCAAAGCCCCTCCCCATGACCCCCAGGACTCTCCTGGACCCCAAAGCCCCCCAGGCCCCTGACTTGGTCCTGCTACCCCTTGAGCATCTCCAGCTGCTGCAGAACCAGGGATTTCATCAGCAAATGTGCAGGTGACACCAAGCTGGGGGTGTGTTGCTGTGCTGGAAGGCAGGAGGGCTCTGCAGAAGGACCCTATCCACAGGGTGATAGAAATGTCTGTCCTTATATATCTGCAAGATTAGTCTGTAAATGTGTGGTGTTAGCAAAGCAGGCTGAGTTCTGGGCTGGTTGTAGAAGGAGAAAGAAGCCCAGAGGCCAGTGCAAGCAGGCAGCCCTCAGCTTGCACATCATGTCCCCTCCCTGCAGGTTCCTGTCCTTGAGCCCAGGCCCTGAGGTGAGGCTGAGAAGTGGCACGGAGGTGAGCCCAAAACTGTCCCTGAGGTGAGCCTGAGAATAAGTGCAAGGCAGAGGTGCTGCTGAGGAACACAAACTCTGCCTGGCCACGGAGCCTGCAAGAAGGAGGAGAGCCCTGGCACTGTGGAGGGACAGGTTGTCCCTGTGCCTTCCCCTGCAGGCCCTGGCTGTCCTTGCTGGGTGTTACGACCCACCCCAGGAAAAGGGGAGGGGAGGTAACTCAGGTTTTTATCAATAATTCCCTTGGGGTGGATTAAAGTGAAGCGACACTAAATAATTGGTGTCTGAAAACATATATTGGTAAGGTTTATTTTAGACATATATAGATAGGGTTCATTTTAACAGTTTTGTAGCATTTTGGGTGTTGTCATATAACAAGGCGAACCTTTTGGGGAGGGAGAAAAATGCATAGGGGAGAGAAAGACAGGGTAAGAGTAAGGGAGAGCAAAGAAAAAGAAAAGATGAGAGTGGTAAAAACTTATATAGTCACCGCCCACTGGATCCAGCGATGCGATCTGGCAATCCTGAAAGCAATGGTCTTGATTCGCCGGCAGTGGGGGGAGAAGGAAAAGAAATACTCCCCAAAGTCACCAGTCAATATCTATATCCTCAGCGTGCTTTTTTGCCCCTCCCCCAAGGTGGGGAGCTGTTTTCATTGGGTGGTGTCCCCGGCCATGCCATGAACCGCCAACATTTTTCCTGCCTTGTGGCAGAGTTGAGGGGCATAGCCACAAAACTCCCAAAGTTTCAGCACAGAGTTCACGGAAGGGCGTGGTAAACTCAGCTCTTCCTGCCTTTTCGGGGCTTGACATCTTCTGCACTGGAGGGGGGGATGGGCCCAGTTGCCTATCAAGAGGCACAATGTGAAAGTCAAAAGCCTGCAAAAGTCTCCTAGAATGCATAAATCATTAACCGTTTCAGTCTCTGACACTGGGCCCCTGTCCATCCCCATCAGGTCCCTGCCCGTCCCCCCCGGGCTGAGCTCCCCCCAGGAACTGCCATGGAGCTGAAGCTGCTGCCATCCCCCCCCTGCAGCCACTGCCCCAGCCAAGGGAGCAGCAAAGGCAGGGCCAGGAGCAGAGGCAGCAGCAGGGGAGCCCTGAGGGGGCCAGGAAGCTCTTGTGTGGGGCAGGAAAGAGGCGCTGGGCACGAGGCCGGGGCTGTGCTGAGCAGGCCCAGCCCTCACATCCCCCCAGCCAACGCCGGCTGCCCGGGGGGCGCGGGAGGGACCCCCAGCCCGTGTGCCCCACACTCAGCTGGCAGGGAGAGAGCCAAGGGACAGGGCCACAGGCAGGGCCACGGTTGAGGGACAGGCAGGGCCATTGCAGGGCCACGGTGAGGGCACAGCCTGTGGCAGCAGAGCTGCCCAGGCCCGAGGGCAGCCGGGGGTGTTGGTAGCAGCCAGTGCTGGGGCCGAGCAGAGCACGAGGCCTCTTGCAGAGCCCTGGAGCAGCCTCCCACTTGCCAGCCCTGCCCTGGTGGGGTGACACTGTCCCCTCCCTACAGGACATTCCCCCCAAAATCTTGGCGGGGCCTTTTGTGTCTATTCCTGGTTGCTGATTGGTTCTGGGGACCTGAGGGAGCCTCTGCAATCCCATCCCTGGGGCACAATCTCCTCTCCAGAGCTTGACTCCCTGCAGTCTTTGCAGGGAAATCTG